AACACTAATATTTTCTGATTTAAATGTGACTAAGATTTGTATTGAAAACATTTTTATTTATTAAACAAAAAATGATATGAAAATGATTAAAATACAAATTCGTAAGAGATTTCTAAACATACAATAAAAATAATTGAGAAAGTAAGTCATATATGAAAAGCTAAGTATTATTCATGAGTATTTAACTAAATGCTACCTTAATCTTTAATCTCTACTATAAACTTTAAAATACTAGTGTTGTGTATACTCAGCCTAAATAATAATATATTGTAAATGCATACATCGCTAGTTGACCGCAAACGGTCATATCTGTGCGCCACTGCTATAGTATTTACATTAAGAAAACAATCATCCACTATTTAATGTTTCAGAAACTACTATATAATTCTGGGTTTTAAAAATATTACTTTGGAAATAGTATAGCAAATAATGAATTTATATTAGACTAAAGAAAATATTTGTAAACATAATATTTTGACTTGTGTACAGTAAAGTACAGTTTCTAACAAGTGAGTAAAGTACTCATACATTACTGTATGGTAATATAACAAAACACAATTCATTTTAAACTTATATTAATGCAAATGCAATTTCACAATTGAAAATATTTAATAAAATTTTATTTTAAAAGTATTTCAAGTTAAATTAAATATATTACAAAATGTAATAAAATAATTATGAAACTCTTTCGAAATTACAAATCTATTTCATATAACTGTCTAATTAGAGGGCATATGTTTTTATATGGAGAACTATAGGTACGGCTTTGAATACGACTACGACACTCATGTAACTCATTCACACAATTCATTAATCGCAAGAATCGGGTCTCGGATTCACTCTTAGAGTTGTGTTTAATCTCTAAATAGCGTTGAAGTAAATACATGTAAATCTTCTGTTGCAGTCTATAGAGATTATATAAATTATAAATAGAAATTTTTCAAGATATTTGACATTATACATAAAATTGATAACTCACGTAATAAAATGCTTATGGGTCAGAATTGAACCGTTTGGATTGAATAGTACAACAGCGGATAACTATAGTTATGATAAATAATAAATATGAGATATTTTATTGTACAGCCAACATTTTATATTAATATAAATACCAAATCAAACATGATCATATCGGATTTGAATTCCTGTTGAACATTTTGCATGAATTTATAATGTATTTCTGTGTGAATAAATTCGTAATTCTTGATTACATCTATAGAAAGTTGTGCCGCGTTTTCATTGTCCTAAAAATAGTCGAATATTTAATTCCTATTTTTTAGAAAACATATAATCATTGCATACAAAGGGTATGGTCCAGAATCTGCCCTCAAAATTAAAATTAAGAACTGATAAAAGGCTTAAAATCTTAGGAAAGCCGTCTATCAAAAGTCCTATTTTGTCGTCTTTGCCCAGTTCACTGAATTCAGACATATTTTTACACATCTTCATAAATCTTCGACACTTGTTATCAGTATTCATTTGTATGAGTCGGAAGGCATCGGAAAATGTTTTCGTTTTAAAAGTTATTTTAAAATGATTGCTGTTTCTCATAAAAGCCGTTGATTCAAATAATTGTTTCAATCGATTACTTTCCAATTCATTAAATTGAAAAATAACACCTCTTATGAAGTTTGAGATTGGGTTCACTATATCCCGATTTTCATCACATTTATGAGAAACAGTGGATTCATTTGTGACATTTATGACATAATCAGTTTGTGTTTCATTACTTATGGGCTGAACTCCAAGTTGTCTTTCACTTGGAAGCCATTCCTTTGTTTATACATTTTAATTATATTAGTTATAAGATTATTAATAAAAGGGAATTAGTGTTTATACTTACCCTGATCATTCCCACAGCGAAACATTTCTCGATTCTACACTTTTTACAATTTTTTCGCGTTAATCGACTCATGAAACATTGTTTACCAAAATAACATGCAAATTCCTA